AAAGAACGTCAAAAATAACGGCGGCAGTGAAGGAATGAAACGTTTATATAAACTAAGTTGCGTGTTGTTCTGTGGGTATTGTAGGTAATAGTTAAGCTCGCAGCACGCCAAACTACTGTACTGTAAATCTGACTTCTCTAGTTACAGACGCCAGAGCGAAGCTGGGACTGGCGCAGATTGCTTTATATGGGAGTCTTAACTGGTTTTGTCTGTCCGGCGCTGAGCTTGGTCTGGCTCAGGTTGCTCTGTAACTGGTCCGGTCTCTCCTGGGCAGGTGATGTTATTCGGACTCCGAGTTCTGGACGGATTGCAGAGCGGGTCAGCGGTCAGAAACACCTGTGCAGTGAGTATCCGAGAAGAGAACTAAATCCCCGCTCCCTCTTGTCAGCAAGCACTGCCTCTCCTGTCTCTCCTGCGTGGCAGACCCTGGCGGTGTCTGTCTGGATACTCAATCAGTGGACTGTGCTCTAACTGCTCTGGCTCTCCTGGGCCTGTTGTATTTAGTCTTTATAGGTACAGGTCGTTAAACAGGTGTAGGAAGAGGTGTTCTTTCCACAGGTGTAGGAAGAGGTGTGTTCTGACACACAGTGCAGTCTGTAAGTATTTGGACACTGACAACATTTGTTGTTTTGGCTCTGCACTCCAGCACACTGGATTTGAAATGAAACAAGGACTATGAGATTGAAGTGCAGAATGTCAGCTTGAATTCGTCTGTATTGGGTGGACCGTATAGGAATCACAGCCCTTTTTATACGAAGTCCCCCCATGTCAGGGGACCAGAAGTAATTTAGGTATATAAATCGGTATAGGAAGAGGTATTCTTTCCATAGGTGTTTAAATAGGTATAGGAAAAAGTGCTCTTTATATGGGTATTTGAAGAACATACTGTACATGGGGTAGTGTCTTCTGTAAATACACATTTTAATGGGTATAGCAAAATGTGTTCTTTAAATGGGTATAGGGCAATGTGTTGCTTTAAACAGGTGTCTGATTAGGTATAGGGAAGGTCTTCTTTCTCTAGGCGTTGTAAGAGGAGGGGAATTAGCTGCCCGGACTGGCCAGGGGTTTGAGGACTGTGATTCAGAGTAACTTGTGGGCCTGCGTGTTAGTTTGAGGATGTGACCGGTTCTGAAGCCGGTCCTGGTGCTGTCTCTCTGTCGTCTCTGCCCCCAGGCTGTGCTGCTGAGCCTGTCGATGCTCGCGCTGCTGAGGCCTCTGGGACTGCGCGCGTTCTCCATGGCGGCCGAATCGTACGTCTCGGGCACGCACTCCGCCGCCTTCGTCACCTGCCCCAACGAGCAGGTGGCCAGGGACCTGGCCAGGTGAGGGGCCGGCCCGCCCTCCCCCTGCGTCGCGTTTGCTAGCGTGACAGAGGAGGGCGCCGCACGTGCGGGGGGGGCTGTCTTTGCCCTGCTCTTTACTCACGCCCTGATAAGAAGGGCAGGGTCGCCACCTCTCTGCCGCAGCCCAGCCTAGAGCATGACGGCACCAAACTTGAGTGGCCTTATCCGAGTCCAGACAGCTGAACATACCCGCCATTGACCACTTTCCATCACAAACCACTGAATCCAACTGTGTCCTTGTATACATGTTTGGAACTGCGTATGAAATTGTAGCAGGAATGTACACAAAGAGAGACGGCGATCTTCCCCCGAGCGTATTCAGCGCAGGACCCACCTATTTAACAGGCTCCTCACAGGTCCCACTAGTGTGGAGACAGATTGCCATTAATACCGTGGGAAGAGTGTCCAATGTCACCACCCGGGACATTACTAATTCGGCCAGTGCAAAATCTCACCCCATAAGTTCACTGCATCTAATTGATGTTGAAATCCGATTTCTGTGCCCCCCCGCCCCCCCCGGCGGTGAAGCTGCGTGGCGGGAGTGGGGTTGCTGTGCCGACAGCTGAGCCCCTGCTTGTTGTTGTTGTCGTTGTCGTCCTCCCAGGGGGCTGGTGGAGAAGAAGCTGGCGGCCTGCGTCAACATCGTGCCCAAGATCACGTCGGTGTGAGTGCGCAGAGGGGGGTGGGGGACAGTGCTGGCGGGGGGCAGGCGTGTCCTCATCCCGGGCCAGAGCCTGTTCTAGCCCACCGTCACCGTGACTGGGACTGTTCCCCGAACGGCGCCCGACAGGGGGGCAAAGGGGTGATTCACCCGTGGGACGACCACAGATCTCCCTGACCCCCCCCCGGGGACTCGATCCCTAGACAGCTGATCGCTCCGTCCCGCCAGCAGACCGGTTTCCGGTCCGGATGTGGGGGGGGTTGGTGCTCGGTGCTGGCAGGGGCGCAGTGACACGGGGACACCACAGGGGGGCGCTGTGGAGAGTGGTGGTAAAAGGATGAAAGATTCGTGCTGGGCTGGCTTTTCTGGAGCTGCTGGCCGCGGAGTCTCGGGCAGCTTGGCAGTTCCGGAGGCCGCTGGAGTGCTTCCAGAGGAAATGTTATGTGGGGGGGGGGCGGAGGCGGGGATCAGCACCTCGGTTTCCGAAAAGGCCTGGCTTTGATTGCTGTCTGTGCGTTCCAGGTACGAGTGGCAGGGGAAGATCGAAGAGGACAGCGAGGTCTTGTTGGTGAGGGTCCCTTCCTGCTCTCCTACTGTGGCGTCTAGTTCCTTGTTTCTAGGGGCGTCTACCGGGATCCAGCCGGGACTGTCCCATGTGACGCCCCTGGAAACCTGCAGCCAAAGCTTTCTGCTCCAAGCGACAGGCAGCGTGGTCCAATCAGAGCATTCTGCAACTCCAGGCACTGTTGTCCAATCACAGCGTAGCTCCAGGCAGCGTTATCCAATCAGAGCACTGTTGGGTGTCACATGACTTGGGTCAGTTGAGCTCAAGTGAGTGCCCCGTTAAAGGTGGACTCCGCAGAAAACAGTTACACGGCCTGAATGATAGGGCAGCACTCTATATACAGCTTTGGGAAGATCGGTTATGCCCGGTATGCGTTTTCAGATTTGAAAGTGAATGAATGCAGGAATAAACAGCAGGAGAATAGTTTTGAAAGACCAGTTTCGCTCAGATATTTATGTACTTTCCTAACTTATCAATGGCCACGTCTTGCTAATATAAAGAGAAACAGGTCATCCATATGCCTACGGTGCATAGTTTTGTAATGTTTTTTATTTTTAAGACTCAAGATGGGATTGGCTGTTGCTGGGATTCAGGACAGTGTGTAGGAGTTGGGCACCTGGTGTAGCTGTGTCTCATGGCACCACCAGGGTGACTTTACTGCCAGCAGACTGCTGGCTCCCCTCACTGGGTCACGAGCCACTTCACGAGGACCGGTGACCATTAGTCACAGAGGACAGTCCCGGGACGTCCCGACTGGTTTCCGTCTCGCCATGGATTCCTTGTGATTCCCTCTCAGCAGCGCCTCCCTGTGGTTAGCGAGAGCAGATTGGCAGCCCAGCCTGGTCCAG